GGGAGAGAGAGAGAGAGAGAGAGAGAGAGAGAGACAGAGAGACAGAGAGGCAGAGACAGAGAGAGAGACAAAGATAGAGAGCGAGGGGGGAGGGAGACAGACAGCACATGTCTTATTAATAGCCTACATTAAAATTGTTAGTCCGTTTTAGCGTCTAAAAACTCTCAAAATTAGTTTTAGTTTGAATGAAAACAATACCTCGGACGACCTTGGCTGTAGTTTCTGTTTCCATCTGACGCACATAACCCAGAACGCTACGGCTGTAAACGCTCTGCGTGAGTTCTTCTTAAACTATCTCGCCAACAAAAAAAACCTCGGCCTACTGTTGTTGTTTTGCACAGATGTAAAGGAAAGAATGCGGTAAGGTCATAAGGAACAAGTTGATTATCACTTAAAAGTCTGTGTCCAGTCAAGTTTTCCTTGGACTGACTGTTACGTTGCGGTTAATTGGACGTTAAAGAAATGAGGCTTCATAGCTTAGATTCAATCTTTTTTTAAATGTTGTCAAGGGTTTTACAGCATTTGCAACTCAGTCATTTCATATAAGTGCTGAAAATTAGAGGTGTTACTAGAATGTAACATACAAACAAAAGAAGGGAGAGCGATAGGGACGATATAACATTATGCCAGATAGGAAAGAAGGAGCAAACCACACCAGAGTACCCACTAACCACCAACAGGCCATCTATGAGAGAAGCATATTTTGTGATTGTGAAGGTTGGTGCCGCTGTCTCGAAATGAGCAGTTTCTAGGCAAGATTACTTTAAGCCATTTATTGTAGTGGTATTGTGTATGCAACCAAAGAGCGCTTTTTAATAACTGGCCCAATTTGAGAAACTTTTATTACTGGATTAAGACTTTTTTTTAATTGTTTGGTCGCAGGCCTGCAGAAGTGCCATGCAAATTTCGAGGGCGTGGGTAAATTAATAAAAGAGCTAGTTTTTTTTCAACGTGGACAGACGGAAGTGAACAAGCTGTAGGTAATTGTTCAGCTATAAGAGTTACTGAGTTAATTCCTTTTACAGCGTACAAATTATAAACCTTATTAGCCGACTTTATATCAGCTCAATAGAAACAGACTGACACATTTCCTATGCCCGCACTTAAATAAATTAATAGCCTGTTGACATCAGATAAAGTAATTGTGTATATTAGGTTGAAAGGGTACAGTAGTAATGTGTATCTACGATCCGAACTAGCAGTGTATCCACGCTGTGGGTGTGGACATAAATAAAAGTAATAAATATGATGACACGGTAGCTAAGCATCCGAGCGGAGAAATGAATAATGAACCATGATTTTGCCAATGTCTATTTCAAATCGGGCACTTTATGACGATGATGAAGATAAAAAGCCAAGCTGTTTTACATGCGGTCATTTTCTGGCTCTAACATTTGTCATACTCGCCGGTAATTTTTTTTTACCCCCACCAGGGCAGTGCTGCTGACTGAAGTTGTCTTTACCCCATTCCCAAAGGGGGAATATTAGCATGTTCTTATACACATTAGAGCTGTAAATGGGATGATTTATCAATGCTCATGCTCAGACTGTGCCGAAACAACATAAGGTGAACTGCTGTTTTTTCTTTCCTCATCCTTACTATCGTCATTTTCCCTGTACTTCTTTTATATGTTTGCGAGGTGCCTTGATAGTCGAAGCAGACTTTGTGCTGTTGAGGCGAGAGATGTGGGCAAGGTAAGCCTGATTCCCCGTCTGGACTCCTCTTTTGGCATCCACCCTTTGGCGCTCATATAACCTTTTATGCAGTTGCGAGCGCCGTAAAACCTTACAAAAACTAAAACTGCAAAAACCATTTCATCTTGAATGACCTCACTTTCCTAAATTTATTTGTCTTTATACAAACTGGCGTCGGTGGCCTAGTGGTTAGGCTCTCGGACTCGCAACCGTAAGGTCGTGGGTTCGATTCCCGTCAAGGGCCCGACGTTTTGTCCTTGGGAAAGGCACTTTACACGAATTTTCCTCACTTCACCCAGGTGGGAATGGATACCCAGCTATAGACAGCGAAAGATCTTGTCAGTCTGTTAGTGTTTGAGCGCTTAATCA